CGGTTATTGAGAAAAGTTGAAATTAATAGGCCTATTAACAAAACAAAACAATTTCTCCCCCCCCCCCATATTATGGTGGATAAAGAAAGTATTCAAACATATTTTTTTTTCAGGGGGCCAAAACGGATACATATACTCAAAACTCAATTAAAAATGTTGATGAAAACAATGGAAATTGCAAAATTTTATGTTTTCAGGGTGAAAAATCAGAAAAACCCATTTTTACCCTATAAAACCCCCCATAAACCCCTGTTCCCGTAGTCCGATCATGCTGGTTCGCAAACTCGTTCGAATAAATGTAGATTTACAAGTTTATACCAAATTTCATCAAAATCGGATAATTTTTGCTCGAGTTATCGCGCTAACGGACACATATATAAATATGAATTTGAACGGATGGTGTTTTTGGCCTCTGGGGACCTCAAAACGAAAAACTAAATCGGTCCCAGGTCCAGGTCTTACCATGAGACCTACGGTAATAGCTTATTCCCTATATGGGAAATTCGCTAAAGTGAAAATCGTAGCACAGTATAAACATAAACAAATATTGTTTTATGTTGTTACTGGGTGCTAAGGACTAGTTTCCCCCTTTTAAGGTTTCCGCTATTGAAAGGGTTTAGGATCTCCGTTATTGTCAGCTTAGTTCTTAACCGATTAAAAATATATTTATGTTAATTTATTCATTTCTTATATCTGTAGGCTTGTACTTTAATTTTTTGATAATAGGAGAATTTTAAGTGGGAAGTGACTGGTAAATACTTCTAAATAAGCATTTTTCTAAAGCATTTTACACATACAAATAAATTATTAGAAGAGAATTAAAAAAGTAGAGTCGTAAATTTGAATCTGGGGAAGGAACAATCTTCAGATGGAAAATATTTTAACACGTTCACTGCTAATGACGCACTTGTGCGTCATAAGTATATTAGCAGATATATAATACATGATGTATATAATTACATAATATATTTTAATCCACAATTTATAGTATAAAATTTATTTAATTAAAGATATATTGTCACTCAATTAACATGATCATGTTAATGTTTATGTTTTTTAGCCATTTATAAAAGTATTACATATCATTAGCAGTGAATGTGTTAAAAGTTAAGTGAGTAATTTAAGAGGACTTAAACGTCTGCAAGCGCTTCTCACGGCACTGTTCACAATGGCGCAACATAGCCACTGAGGCCAGAGTTGTGATTCCTGAGCTGAGGTAGAGCACACTCTTAAACTCTGCGGTGCAACCTGTGGCTCTGGCTTTACAAGTGAGAACTTTCCTTTTTTTCTGAGACATGGTGCGGCGGCGCTTGCAAGTGATAACAAGATGTCAAAAACAGGAGAACGCAGTTTAGACAATTTATAAAACATCCACAGTTTATATTACGAGTATATACACTCTGAAATAATTATTTTACTATTCATAGAAATATTAGTTATTACCAGTGCTCGATTTTTTGGGGAACGAGGTGGAACTGAGTTTCGGTACCTCTCATTTGGAAAGATAAAAATATTGGCATAAATATGTACTTATCACACCACACTAAATAGGTTACAGTTCCGGTTACACCTCATTTTACAAATCGAGCACTGGCCAGTACTGTTATTGTTAGCATGCTGATTCATATTAAGATCACTGATATGGGGCCAAGTTTTTTAGTGAGTAGTCAGATAAATTCAGGAGTCTCACGCTACAGGCTGGCTACCTGTGTGGGTAAAAACATTTTCCCTCCTCTACCTAAAAAAAGATCACTGCTATAAGGAGAATACTTACGATTCTATAGAGACTTGTTTCTTCGGTCAGCAGGTGGACTCCCTGGTTGCCATTCTTCCCATTCTTTCGATCCCTTGTCAGAAAGGTGTTTTCAGATGGAAAAACGAGGGAAGTTCTGTTCTCAAAATGTACGTTACTAGAACCGGCAAACGAAGGGTGCTCCACAGGCGTCGGTGATAGTTCCGTTTTTACCTTAGGCTTTATGAGTCCATAGCGTTTTAACGCATGCCATTCAAGAAGAAAGTGTCCACGTAAATTTCGTTTTGGTTTTCTCGCTCTATTTCTTCGGTTTCCCATAGTAATTACTTGAATATAATATTTATTTAACACAGCTATTCAATCCTAATGAACCAGCATATTCCAAACTATATACACCATCACAAAACTTTAAGTCCCACACCGCAGCAAACCTGCAGACTAAGCAAATTTCCATTTGCCTAGTTGGATTTTCAATTAAATTGATATAACATTTTAAATTACTGTTGAACATGTAGGATGTATTCCCTATTCAAATAACATTAGGTTTAGTGAATGCTTAGGGCTGCTGTTACAGGGAGGGTAGAAAAGTGTGTTAAACAATAGCTTATTATAAAATAAATTAGCCAAGTTTGATCAAAATGTATTTTGAAGTTTGATCAAAATGTAAAATCTGATTATTTTTGCTTGAGTATTTGTGCTAACGGACATACACATGCAATTGAATTGATGGAGAATCGAGAACAACGTTCCCACGCTGCATTTTCAAAAGAACCTATGTGTTTGTATGCGAACCGTATATTACCGCCACTTTAGTGTGCGTTGCCAAACTGGAAAATTCACGACATCACCACTGGAATACAGGTAGGTTAATTCTCTACCCGCCAACCAGTGACTTCTTGGCCAAAATCAGATGCTATTGTCCACATATGGGCATAAGTCTAATTTTATTTGGAAACTCTCCTAGATCTCCGCCCCACTGGCTACCTAAGTTGCCACGTGAACACACTTAATATTAGAATTACATGCCACATAAGCAGCATTAAGTTGCCTAGAAAATATGAACTCCTTGCCTGAATTAAAAGAAACAAATTCTGCCAAACTAAGCGGTAAAATGATGATTTATTATTAAAACCAACGATGGTTGCGTGACTATTTTATACACGGCGCTCTAAAGAAACACATTAGCCTTTCCGCGACCTCTCCTGTTGTGAAGCGGCTAATAAACAAATAATGAGTAAGTCCATTGATAGTAAATAGCCTATTAAATATTAGCACAATTTTAACATTATGACATACCTTTGAAAAGGACTGAACACCCTTCTTAGGAGCTGTCTTCTTCACCTTTCCCATAATCTTATGCACATAACTGCCAGGCAAATCGGGAATACATGATACAGTATGGTGTTCCTCACTAATAATATCATTGTTTTTTGTCAACACTCTGGCACCACACACACGATTCACACACCGCCACACAATTTCTCCGCCCTTCTTATCATTTTTCTTCGTATATCGGAAACCGTTGTATAAAAGACTAGGTTGGCCTCTTATGGTCTTTGAAAACTCCATTCTACAGATGGTTACACCTTCCGGTTTAAGCACACAAATGAGGTTTGAATTGGCAGCAGTGTTTATAAAACAAAGGGGTGGGAGAGGGGTGAATCTCCAGAACTAAGGGTCATGCAGGGCTACCTGCTTGGAGTTCCTTGCCCCATTCAAGTTTGCATGTGGACAAGATGGCACTAATTATTCTGTTTAGTCAACTGTGAAATATGCTGGACGAGATGGCACTATTAGGAAATTGGACATCGGTCGAGATAGCTCTGACTACATCGAAAACAACCAACGACCTTTCAAGCCTAACCTTATATCTCTAAAACTATGCAAATCTAATAAACTACCTAATGTACTTGGTACATCTAAACAAGCTAGTTTAACCTAGAAATTGTTCTTTACCCTTCAGAACACACGGTATGTATTTGATGAGCGATGTAAATATCATGATTTATTTAACTTAGGTTTTAATTTCAAACATTTAAATCACTTGTTCAATTGTGCTTGCTGAAATGGATGCATTGCACGACGTCCAAGTGCCACAACGTCAAATAATATTATTCAGTGTCACGACGTCCAAAATGTAATTTTGAGCTGTTGCACGACGTCCAATATAAAATATTTGACTGTTGCACGATGTCCAAGTGTCACAACATCCAAATGTACAGTAACTGCAAAAAATAAAAAATTATGTTTTGGACGTCGTGGCACTGAATAATATCATTGGACGTCGTGGCACTTGGACGTCATGCAACACGCTGAAATTACAACAATTGATGCAACTGATCTTCATGAAACTTTGTATGTAAGAGGAGACCTAAGTTAGCAAAAAAATTAACTAGTACAATTCAAAATGGCGGCTTTTTAAATTTTTATGAATAAAATTGCTGATTCCGTCAAAAATGTCAAGGACACTTTAATTTTGCATTTTAAATTTCCTATCAAAGACCAAGTTCAAAAAGATCAAATACAAAAATAGCTGAATTATCATGATTTTTAGTTGTAAAAGCTTGTCAGGTTGCGCCTCACTACCGTACTGCAAGGTACAACAACATGCTGACTCTGCTAGTAGCCTAAACAAAATTATTTGCTTTTAAGCTCCACAAAATTTTTTTCAGAGGGGGCTGTAAAAGGATTGGGTATTTTCATGTTTTAAGAGTAAAAGTTTGAAAAAAAAGATCAAAACCCCATAACCCCCTCTTCCCATTACACGATCTTATTTGTTGGACTTATTCAAAAGTTAGTACGGCCCCTACTCATTCAAGCCGAATTGAATCAAAATCGGACCACAATTACTTAGGTTATCGCATTCATGAACGTATACATACAAAAATTTGAACAAATAATATTGTTGGCCTCTGGTGACATTAAAATAAACAATAAATCGGTCCCTGGTCTAGGTCTAACCATTGCACCTACAGTAATAGCATTTTATGGGAAATTCACTGAAAACAAAATGGATGAGATTATAAAAATTTTCCGCCTTTTTTTTAATTTGGCGATGTCAATATTTCAGCATGATCTTGCTTAATGGTCTTGTTTCTTTTCAGCTCCCAGAACCTTTATTAAGGTAAACTTTTGGCATATCCATGACTAGAATGCTTAAGATTATTCGCAAGAACTATCAGTAAATTTTACTGGCCGATTTGACCTCATAAATGGTTCAAGGCATAAATAAAATGGGGTATTCTACCTTTTTGGAAAGCTTCTTTGCTTTAGTGGCAGAGAGACTCGTTGACTTTCCATCAAGTTGACCATCTACCTCTTGGTTCGCACTGCAACAAAGAAATATATCTTGAAATATCTAACAAACAAAATAACAATGGAGCAACAACCAAAGGAAAAAGTTATATTACCAACATTCGTTAATACTAATTTTAAGTCCAGGATAGTGATATACCTTGATTAATCTTAGGAGGAAATAAATACAAAGCTTATATTGTGACTGGTGAGATCATGACTTCATTGGATAAAGAGTCCACTGGGGCTGTCGAGGACCTTGGGTATACATACATTATACATACATTTATTTACTTAGAAGTTATAACATTTGGTAGGCCTATGTAAGCTTTTTTGTTTTCTTCAGTTACAGAGGTTAACTGTTAGAAAGGACCACGAGGTCCTACCTAAGTTCGCCTCAATTAAGAAGGATTTTAATTTCATTTCAGTTTCAAACACACATTTCAAATAGACACAGATGTTTGTTTCATTATATTAATAGCTATTTTACCAGTGTTTCACAATGCAGGACGCTCAAGAGAAACATTTGTCTCTTACTTAGCCTACACATCACTTTTGCCATATTGTAGATAATCATGGCAGATTAAGTCCTGCAAAATTATCACAGTTATTATGTATAGCACAAACAAACAAAACAATAACATGCCCTACATTATCTGTTATTAAAAACAATATACCGGTATTTTATAATACCGACACTTTTTACAGTACAGTATCATTAATGGAAATTTGGACACTGGAGATGACCATTTACAGTATAACAATATTTTAAAATAAACTTACTGTTCAGCACTTAGAACAAGAAAAGAAAGAAATATAAAAGACAAACAACAATATTTACAAGTAGTATATGCCAATTGATATTGGTGTCATACAAATTATGCTACTCGTCATATAACTTAAACCTCAACAAAGTGCTAACTAGTTTTAAAAAGTTGTCGAGATATCTGTACTAATACAGACGATATGATAATGATGATGATGAATACTATTTTCTCTCTTGTTGACATAACCCTTCGTTGGCAATTTGTCTGTTCCTGAGCTTCCGCTCTAAACAGACTCCAGGTGCCACCCAAAATTAAGGGGGGCACTACAAAAAAATGTCTTAGAACTGTTTATCAACTCAGAGGGATTATTGGTAATCTACAAATCAAATCAAATAATTTATTCAGCCAGAATTAACAATATACAAGTTGTATTGGCTAAGTCAAAATGAAATAAAAGTTCTCCTCTACAAGTCCGGAGAGGAGAAACGTAAGGAGGAAACAGAGCTGGGGTGCTGTTGCCCTGGTCGTACAGATGGACTGCCAAAACTACTGCAGCAGACACCTAAAAGAACAGCATTCCCTCCGCGGCAGTATTGCCAGAGCTTCCATCATGCCACAACTAACTTTAACTTCAGTCTTTTATACAAGTTTAACAGCACTTTTCCTAGGATATAGTGCCATTTATTTAGGTAAAGATGAAAAACACTACTTTGGCCAGTACATCATTGCAATGAGATAAGTGACCCCTCTGGACCACCTCACATAAAACAACATCAAAAGCTTCCAGTGCATTACATTTCTTGCTCTTAGTGATTAAATGATAAATGGATGTTTTACATGGCTGTCTCTGGCATGTTTGTGTACAGTTGTTCGTTGTCTACATTCTTGTGTGTGCCAACGAACCTTTCACTGCTAGAGCCGCTGTCTTGAATGAAGAATGGCCGCAAGTCCTCTCCTACAGTCATGGCCCAGTCAGGTGGTATCTCAAACTCACTTCCCACATAGGGAAAGGAGGGAAGATGTTGGCGTTTCTTCCTTCGATTTAATAGATCACGTTGGATAGATGAAAGCTTGCCGAGCTGAGCCTTGACTTCGTCAGGGGTTTCTCGGAGTCCAGTTGTTAGAACCTGCGAAGGATTCATATCTGGTATCTGAGATGTTTCTCTTAACTTAATTCTGACTTTTGTCACTTCCTTCGAGATCTCATTCGCTGGGTGGGAATGCTCCTTATAGTTTCCCAGATATGAGTACTGAAAGAAAACCAAAGCATTAATCCAAAGAATTTAAAAACAAGTAAAAGAAGTAATGGAAAATACATATTACGGGATGGATTGTTAGGAAGTCTTGACATGTAAAGGACTTCATGTTTTGGATATTTTTTTTACTATTTCACAATAGTTTTATGAAATAGTTTTAAAGGATTTTCAAATAGTACAAAAATAGTTCACTGTGCTCAAAACCCAATGTTACCATAACAAATGGTCTTGGTTTTGGTGAATTTCCCCCATAGGAAAAAATGTAGACTATTACCGTAGGCAGCACGGAAAGACATAGACCCGGTACACATTTATTTTTCATTTAGTTGTCCCCAGAGGCCAAAAAACACTATTCCTTAAAATATATAGGCCTACAGTAGAGGGTGTTTCCAAATTGTCTGGACATATGTTTTGGACTTGTTCCTTGGGCTAAGACAAGCGGAACATAAAATGCCATATAGTTTGTCCAGCCTCACAAATTAAAATTTTTTGAAAAAAAACACCCTCATACCCATACGCTGGTAACGAGTTTCTAAAATTTGTCCCTGAATTGATAAAAAAAGAAACAAACCTATCTAAATTCAAAAAAATTCTAAAATATTATTTAATAAATTTAGCATTATATTCTTTTGAGGAGTTTTTCACCTCCCATACATAGTATTTTTATTTTAAGTATTCTGACACTATTCATTGTACCACCAATGTACATGACTTATGATGAATAACGATGTTTGAATATTAATATAATATGAATATAGGTCTAAAATGCCTAGATTTCTGTCTGACGGTCTGTTTGTGAGTTTTTAAAATTATTTTATATCTTAGGCATGTTACAAGATAGAAATTTCCAAATTGGTATAAATGTGAGGTTTAGAAGGTAAAATGAGCTTCAGAATTTTCATTCCAATATCTGAAGCCATTTTGAACTTTCCTGTTAAAGGGAACATCCATTATTATCGATGATTTTTTTGATATATCGATATTTTTGCTTTCCGATCCATTACAAATTGACAACAACTAACTAACTGATCTTGTCTAGGCTAAAACAGTCTATTATATGGATTAAGAAATGAAACTGTTCAAAGCTAACCGTTTGATAACAGAAAAGGCAAGTTAAACACGGAATTTTACAGCAAGTTTGGTTAGTTATGTTAGGTTATTTTTTTAGAACAGTTTCATCATTTTATTATTGTTTGTTGATACTGAACAATATTTATCGTAGTTGTCAGATGATATGTTTCAATTTGTTAATATCGATATATCGAGAAAAAACCATCGATAATAATGAATGTTCCCTTTAACCCTTAATTTGACAGCGTGCCATTATTGGCACATGAGGATTCAAAAAAATGTAACGTTCGCCTGTTAACTTTTTAATTCCAACAAACGGCGTCCAAAGGTTCTTTGCCTATTGCTTTTATGGTTTAGTGTACTATAGTGGATGTTTTGGAAATTACTATCACTTTAGACCAACATATAGAAAAGGAAGTATGGAGGCTTAGTGTAGAAGGTTAGTAAATTATTTCTTATTTCAATATTTTAGGCTGTTTACCTATATATCTAAGTGATTTGCACAGATTAAAGTTGAGAAAACATAACCCAGGTCAGAAATTAGCTTAAATATGAACATTGATTTTTTTATAAACTAAACAATTTGAGTGTGACAAAAATGGCACATTGCCAAAGAACCAGGGAACAATGAAAATTTTTGTGCGTGCCAAAAATGGCAAATTACCAAAGATACAGTTATTTTTTTTTGTGTATTGAGCGCGCCTAAAGTGACACACTGTTTATAAAATAGTGAAAGGTATTTATATTTGTAAATGTATGTCTCTTATTTCCACAAATTTTAAAATAAAAATGTTTTTTTGATGAAAGACTTTTCACTAGGCTGTTTAGAAAAGACTTTGGCTTTACAAAAACTCCCGACCATCTATGGCAACAAATATCTACCAAAAAGAGTTCTATTTCCTGCTGAAAGTGAAACTTCTTATATGAAAGTTGATTGTGCATTCCGATAAAGATTTTGGTACTTACAAATATTTTGCTCACTGTATCGACATATCGTGCAATAACGCATTGCTACCACGTTGAAAATAGTTAAATTGAAAAACCAGCGAGACAATATGTCACAAAAAAACTTTAGTTATGAGATTTTTGAATTGCTAACCAAAGAAATGAGTAAAAGACAAGTTCTAAAAGACAGGGATTTACTTCTTCTCACACCAGCTGCTCTGATGTATGTTGAAGATGTACACTTTGATGGTGTTGGACATTATCCTTTCTTTGTATACATCAAGAGGTCGATGCAGATTTTGTAAAAATAAAAAATAAATCGTCGATAGAGTGTTCAAAGTGCAATGCGAGGCTGTAACTGAAAGAAAATAGCAATTGTTTTGTGGGGTTTCACCAAAAGTAGATGATGTTTCTTGATGGACATACTCTAATGAAATTTCAAACGATTTTCCTGATGGGCATGACTAATGAAATATCAATAAATTATATAATAATGTATTTTCTATTGTAATCAAATAGTTTTGTAGAGGTTTTACATGTGTATACATTTTAGTTCATTTTTTATAATGACGTTTATACCATTTTATATTGGATTGATAACTTTTGTGGAGAAATTGATTTGTTTATATCTTACATATAATTATAGTTATACAATTTTGATATCCAATATGTGATAATGTCGACTTATTCAAACCCTTAAGTTTATTTTTAAGTGCTATACAGATAAACTTGTTGTATTTAATTCAACATAAGACTCCTAGAGAAATCTCTGCATCTTCGGCAAAGTGCCAAAAATGGCACACATGAAAAAATTGTAAAAAATACTTAACAGAATTTTAAAATTATTTTTTTGAAGTTCCTTTAGACCCTTTTGATTGAAATATTGCAAGGAAAAAGTAGTTTTCAAAAAAATATTTGTTTGCCAAATTAAGGGTTAACAGGAAAGTACCGCCATTTCAGTATGGCGGTAATTTAAAATCTTTATTACAAAATTTC